CCCCCTCCTCCCGGACCCCGGAGTAACACAAGCATCCCTAGACCCTAAACCCTAAACCCTAAACCCTAAACCCTAAACCCTAAACCCTAAACCCTAAACCCTAAACCCTAGACAAGTCCAGACAGAAGTCTCGGCACAGGTGGCTGAGCTTGAGCCCTCTTGAAGGTTCACGGGCTTCTACATCCCTTTCTGATTATAAAACAGGGTTTTGGGGTTTGTGGTTTGGGGTTTAGGGTTTAAGGTTTACGGGTTAGGGTTTAGGGTGTTTTGGGGTTTTGGGGTTTTGGGGTTTAGGGTTTAGGGTTTTTGGGTTTTGGGTTTTGGGTTTTGGGTTTTGGGTTCAAGGTTCAGGGTTTAGGCTTTTGGGGTTTTGGGGTTTAGGGTTTACGGTTTTGGGTTTTGGGGTTCAGGGTTTAGGGTTTAGGGTTTTATGTGGGGTTTAAGGTTTATGGCAGTCGGTCGGCATCTCACACTGTTCCGAATGACAGCATCTAATCGCGGCGTGCCTTGTCCAGGGACGCCATGGCAAAATGCCGGTCAAGGAAGCGTGGTTTAGGGTTTAGGGTTTAGGGTTTAGGGTGTAGGGTTTAGGGCATAGGGTTTAGGGTTTAGGGTTTAGGGTTTAAGGGTGCCAGAAATCCTAAACTGAGTCGATGGATCTCAGATTGCCTACAGTCTCGACAGATCTCTCGAGGTATACGAGCAAAGGCCCATAGGTACCTTATAAGCAGGGATATATACAGTACGTAATTAGTGGTTTAGGGGGTTTAGGGTTTACAAGCATTGATATAAAAGAATTAGTGAACTGTGTTGATAACCAAGGTAAGGGTAGACACATAACCCTTGCGTATAAAACTAGAGGGACCTAGATCGATGTGCTCACCTATCTTGCCCTCTGCGCTCAGGGGCCACTGCGCACTGAAGATGAGAGCCGCCATTGACGTCGGTTCAGTAAGCTTTAGGGATTGGGGATTATAGGGTTTAGGGACTAAAGTTCAGGAATTTTTTTGGTTCAGGGAGCATTCTGAAAAAATCATGAAAATCATCACGGGATGCTTGGCAATCAAAAGGGCTCAGAGTTTAGGGTTTAGGGTTTCGGATATAGGGTTTAGGGTTAGGGTTCCCTCACAGAAACCTGCGAGGGAGATCACTATGAACCCCAAACTCTAAGCCCAGAACTCTGAAACCTGACTCCTTCACCTGAATCCCTTTGGGGGAGGGCCCTTGAACATCTTTTAACAAGGGATTCTCTTCTCAAGTTACCTACGGGACCTAGACAGGTACAATAACCCCCCCCCCCCCACCCCCCCCGCACAGCCTCAACCCTCAACCCTCAACCCTCAACCCTAAACCCTAAACCCCAAACCCTAAACCCTAAACCCTAAACCCCAATGCTGCTTTTGGCCGCGCGCGTCGTGAAAAAAAAGTCCCCCTTCACTGCGGCTGGATTTGGCCTGTGCGGGTAGGTGCGCCTAAGTTGATCTTTCTGCCTCAAGATTCCCAAAGAAAAAGAGATTAATACAGGGGTCGGAGAAACTACTAGTAGTGTTCCCTTATGGCGCTTAATACTTATACTACAATCATACCCCCAAAACCCTATTCTGACCATTAAGGCCCCTAAGTTCAGGGTTTAATTATAGGGCTCATAGGGGAGACTCGACATCATACGAGGGGCGCAAAAAACAAACCCTAAACCCTAAACGAGGCTCAAGCTCACCAAGTCTCAAGCAGGGGCCGGAGATCAAAGAGTTGAGAACATCCCGGCTTCGGCGCGCAAGCCCTTTGCGAAGCCAAGGGAGACCCCCGCGTCGCGTGCGCCGGCATAAGGCGAAGGAAGCCTCGGATGCTCTTCAGAAAACCCCAAAGAGCCAAGAACGAAAGGGCTTGGGTGCGCTTCGCATGTTTTCGATGGTTCTGTCCAGTTCTTCTAGGTGTAACATACTTAAAGCTGGAGAAAATAGACATTACAACAAAAACAGGTAGTTCCGAAAATCGGCACAGAAGCAGAGTGTTCGCGGCTCGGGCTTGTAAGGAACGCCAGCTGTGAAGTTGAGGGGGTAGCTGGACACCTGATGGACCAGTGTCACGATGCATCCACCTTGGTAGCGGTTTAGGGTTTAGGGTTTAGGGTTTAGGGTTTAGGGTTTAGGGTTTAGGGTTTAGGGTTTAGGGTTTAGGGTTTAGGGTTTAGGGTTTACGGTTTAGGGTTTAGGGTTTAGGGTTTAGGGCTGAGGGCTGAGGGTTTAGGGTTTGGGGCTTAGGGTTTATGGTTTAGGGTTTAGGCTTTAGGGTTTGGAGTTTAGGGTTTAGGGTTTAAAGGGTGGGGATTGGCTATTTACAAGGGAACCTGGAACCAACAAAAGGGTAAAAGGGTACCACTGGGCTGCCAAGCCACCTCACATGGACCCAAGCGGGCGCTGCCCGACACCTGCGGCTGAGTCCGGGCGAGCATGCAGCTGCAAAGGTTTTTTGGAGCTGTTGCGGCTGGAGGGTCCCTGTAGCTAAGCCGCATCTGTGTTAGGAATCAGTTAGAGATACTGAGACCGGGAACGTCCCCACTTCACGAGGTCAGAGTGTGAGGCTGTCAGGGGTGTTCGTAATGCTTTGGGTCTTCCCAGCTCGCAAGGGCATTTCCCCGGCTGCTCTGTTCACGAAAGTCTGGGGTTGATCCTCAAGGTTCCTGCGACTGAGCTCACATTCCGCAGTCAACTAGGCATCTGAGGCGCGCGAAGGAAGGAGCAAGCAGCAACGAAGCAGTTTAGCGTCAACGAGCGTCACGATGCAATCAAGGCCCCAGCGCTGCTGCTGCCCCCTCATCTGAGAATCGCGAGACAGCGGCAAGCTCGCCGCCCCGATCGCTGCCCGGTGCCCGAGATTCCTCTTCCCAGCAGCGACAGGTCTTCACCGACCGCCGGCTCCGCTGTGGCAGCGAAAGGGGCGGTCAATTGCCGAGTACACTTATAGTGAAGCATGGCTCAGTGCCACTGCCAGAAATGGCACAATGCAGAACTCCGACTGTGATGCACGATATCCGGAAGTCAACGATCGCGTGCAGCCACTGACTCCTCCTCATGCCAGCCTGCTCAGACGCTCTATGACCAGGACCGGCGGCACCGAGCCGGCTGAAGCAACTACATTGGGCCAGTAGGGGCAAGGATGAGGGGACGTCGCAGGCATATCGGCCAGGATGGCGCCGTCGGGATTCGTCTGCTTCATCTTACTTACCCAACGGACCATATTCTCGCTGCACAAGCTCGCAACGCTGTGGAGGGTGCATAAACCTCCGACTTGCCCACAAGAGAGAAAGACGTCGACCGCAGACGCCACTTGCGGCGCTCCAGCAGAAGGCGCGCGAGCGAGCAAACATCCGAGCTTCCGCAAAGGCTCTCCGCCAGCCTCGGCCGATGCGCGAGACAGGGCCGAAGGCACCGGGCAGCGACGTGGCCCCGAGACCCTCCGCGCATGCGCCTGCTGCGCATGCTGCGTGCTGGGAGCGATGTGGAGTTCGGGCCTGAGCTCACGGTGAAATGCCGCCAGCTGCCATGTGCCAAGGGGCTCAGCCTACCAGCACTCCTGGGCGCAACACAGCTCCTTTCGGCCCACCTTGATTGCCCTTGTCCGCACAAGCTGGGCCTGCGAAGCTCCCGGAATCCCCAGGGCCCCTGCACTCAAGATTTTATAGGGCTTAGGGCTTGGGGTTTTAGAGGGTTCAGGGGCTTAAGTCGTGCGGGAGGATGGAAGCCACCAGCACATGCTGCGCCAGGGAGGAGGCAGATGCCCAGATGGCTCCTGGTAGACGGGTTGCTGCCAGCCTTGCCCTGCCTACCTCCAAAAAGCCCCTAAACCCTGAGCCCAAACCTTACGTTCCTTCTGTTGCTCCTGCAGATTTGACTTGCACATTGATTTTGCTGGCTTGTTTAGGGTCCCAAGTTCGGTCCTAAAACCTCCAGGTTAACAGGCAGAGCCAATGGCCTGCGGGCAACAGGAAGGGCATGCACCATTCCAGAACGCTACAGTCGCCGTGGGGTTGGCCGAGGGAATCATGCTCAAGTGACTCAAGTGCACCTGATCCCCAACCGACGCAAGGCACGTCAAGCATGACAGAGGTGGTCTTCCTTCTGGCCCCGTGCCCAGAGCCCAACCGCGGCAAGGCTTCTAACGCGCAAAGGCTGCATCCCCAGACTCTACATGCTGCGAGCCCTGCAAGAAGCCCTATATCCCCTTGGGTTCCAGAAGCCCTCTTACACCTCTTAAGCCTCTTGAGCCCCCGAAGCACCCGAAGCCCGGAAACAGATCCAGGAGACGGTCGCGAAGCCCAGAGGGCAAACCCCGCGGCTTCCTCGGAAGCTGCCGGCCCTGGAGGTTCATCCCGAGGGGCCGCCCCTTCTGTGGTCTCAGAGCTTCAGTTCACTGCGGGGGGTTGGTCGAACATTTTTGCATCGAGGGTTTAGGGATTGCAGGGCTCTTCTTCATTTGGAGTTGGGGGGGGGGGGGGGGGGCATCCCGAGTTGGGCACCCGGCGGTGGGGCTGGAGAGGTTGCAGGGCGCCGAAGCACACTCCGCGTCGCCGAGGTTTGGGCCCTCTTCCACAAACTTCAGCCTTTCCGTGGTCTTTTTGGGTTTTGGGTTTAGGGTGTAGAGTTTAGGGTTTAGGGTCGGAAGACCTCCAGCAGCCCAAACCCCAAGCGCTCGAGGGGGCCCAAGACCGCCAGAACCCAACTCAGGACCCCCCTAAAGCTCTCCTCCCAAGCCCTGCTGCTAGATCAGGGGTCCCGTTATGGACACCCTTCTCAGCAGGATTCCTCAGAAAGAGGGAATTACCCCCGCAAAACATTTCAGAAGAACGGTCGACATGGGGCGAGCAGATCCTGGCGATAAAGCTTTTGGGGCTGATATTGGGATGCCAAGGGCCACATCCTCATGGCAGCCGACGGAGATGCAGCGCAAGGGTTGGGGCGTGGACCTCGAAATCTCTAAGGGCCCAGGGGTTAGGGTAAGGTCTAGCGCAGCAGGCACACGCGGCCAGCGTAGCTGAGGTAGTTCGTCTGGTAGTCGGGAGGTATCGGGCCCCAGCAGGGCCTGCCAAGCATCTGCCCGGCTGGCTCACACATGAACTCCTCGTCCTCGTCCTCCCTTTGTAAAGAAAAGATGGCTGGTAAGGAGACCCGTTCCTGCCAGGGACAGCGGGCACTCAAGCTCTGCAAAGCCTCGCGCCCAGCCGCCAAGAGGGGGGCATCTGCCGAGACAGCCGAGGTCCAAGCAAGGGGCGGGATCCATTGCTCACCTGACGGTGCATCATTGCGTGTTGCACACGCAGCACACCCCCATGCAAGGCTCAGCGCAGCTGTAAGGTCCGTGCGCGGACCAGCGGCCACAGCAAGAATGCCAGAGCTTCGGCTTATCGGCTCACTTCAGGTCTGCAAGCGCCGAATGGTAGCGCCCACATTTGGCCCCGCTGATCGCACCACTAAGGTATATATACCCCAAGGAGCGAGCAAGCTGCACATCAGCAACGAGGCATTTTGGCGTCAACGCGCATCACGATGCAATCAAGGCCCCAGCCCCAGCGCTGCTGCTGCCCCCTCATCTGAGAATCGCAAGACAGCGGCAAGCTCGCCGCCCCGATCGCTGCCCCACGCCCGAGAAGCCTTCCCAGCAGCGACAGGTCTTCACCGAGCGCCGGCTCCGCTGTGGCAGCGCAAGGGGCGGTCAATTGAGAAGGGCACTCATAGTGCAGCATGGCTGCCACTGCCAGACATGGCAGAATGAAGAACTTCAACTGTGATGCATGAAGTCTTGTAGACAACACGACCGCTTGCCTGCTCAGACACCCGCACCCTCTGACCAGGACCGGTGGCACCGAGCCGGCTGAAGGAATTGCATTGGGCCAGGGGGGCAAGGATGAGAGGACGTCGCACTCACGTCACCGGCATATCGGCCAGGTGAGCACCATCAGGCTTCATCTGCTTCATCACACCCCTAATGCGCCACATTTTCGCTGCACAAGCTCGCAACGAAATAGAGGGCACATGAACCTCAGGCGCAGTTTGCTGCGCTCCAGCAGAAGGCGCGCGAGCGAGCAAACGTCCGAGCGTCCGCAAAGGCTCTCCGCAAGCCTCGGCCGATGTGTGAGACACGGCCGAAGACTGCAGCAGGACGTGCTATGAAAGACACATGCGCATGCTGAACAGGAAGGGAGCCACGGCCTTGCGACCCACTTCAAGAGCTTGGGGAAAGCCAGAAGCAGCTGCTCTGTGTTAGAGGACTCAGCCTACCAGCTTTCCTGTATGCTACGCGGCATTAATAGCGGCATTAGCGGTTGCACGCGAATTACATCCGCGGAGAAGGCTGGCACTTCCGCCAAGTACCGCTACGACGTACAGAATGCACAGACGCGCAGGTTCCCTCTGTTGTGCACCGCACGTGTAGCTGCAGTAGCAGACCAGGATGCACCAGCGTGTGGTGCAGCAGCGAGCGAGAACCTGCCTGCCCTTCAGGCCAGTCATCTATATATCCCAGGATGGGCTATTGGGCCTGAGATGTCCTTGAGTCAACCCTTTCAAGGGCCTTTTCCAGAGGTTAGAGGGCATAATAGCCCATCCTGGAATATATCCATGGTGCACAACAAGCGCCGCCTCTGGGACAGGGACCCAAGCATGAGCTGAAGATCCTCGCACGGCGCGGAGACTTGGGGCGTTTGGCTCTCCGGCATGGTGCGACGGGCAGGTTTGACTACTCCAACCGAAACCTGTTTAGGATATAGGGTTTAGGGTTTAGGGTTTAGGGTTTAGGGTAAACCTCCTCAGTTCCAACCTTCGAATGATAAACCCCCCTAAAAAACCCCTAAGCCCTCCCAAAATCCCCAAACCTCCCTCAACCCAGACCCGGGGAGCGCGAGTCGCTGCACCCTCACTGTGCAAGCTGCCGGAGGGGCCATCAGCATTCACGCGTTTGGTGGAGGACTGGAATTTGGGTTTCGGGTTTTGTGTGCTTCGGGCTGAACGAGTGTAGGCCGCGGGTGTTGCAGCTGCCATCAGCATCGCCTCCAGAAGGCACCCACTGCAACCTCGACATCCGAAACGGGGCCTGAAACCCTGGAACCCTCAAGGCATTCTCAACTCAGTTTGAACAACCCCCTTGGCCCCAATGGGCTGAAGGCCTTGAATGGGTTTAGGGTCTAGGGTTGAGGGTTTAGGGTTTAGGGTCTTATCGAGGCTTTCCAGGCCTTTTGCCTTCTTGGGCCCTAGGGCACGTGGGAGGCAAGCGGGCCGTCAGCGCCCAGATGCCACTGAGCTTGAGGCTTGGGGCTTAGGATTTTAGGGGTTTAGGGTTTATAGGATTTATAGGGTTTATGGGCTTAGGCTGAGCGCCTCAGCTGCGAGTGGAGTGGAAGTGAGCCACCAGGAGCACATGAGCGCCCGGCTCTGATGAAGCATCGCCCCTGATGTGTTGGTACGCTGATTTTCACAGGCCTTTCAGTTGCTAACTAGAGGGTTCTAGGCCTACATGTCACGGTTTGCTCTGGCCTCAGGCTATGGTTGCCGAACCTCCCCAAACCCCACGCACATAAGTTTGCCCCTTAGGGTCCCACCATGATGGGGGCCCCGAGTGGTGACGTGTCCACTTGCTGATGCCGGTCGCTCAGGATCATGGGGGAGAACCTCCATTTGCTCCCACCACGGTCTAGACGCGCGTGAGCCCCGGCCGCACTGAATGAAGCACCTGCCGAGCACCTGCTATTATGCCGAGGTGAGAGATACCGCAAACTGTGAGGTGCGGCGCATGCTGGGTAGATCCTTGGGCGCTGTGCGGGGGTACGGCTGCGCAATAGTCCTGAGAGTTGACCTAGACCTCTAAAAAAAGTAGGCTCCTGAAAACCACCGGTTTTCGCAACTCCAAACTGGGTTCTTGCCCAAAGTTACGGGGCTTTGCAGGAAAAATACGGTTTTTTCGGGTAACATACGGGTTGACGGCGCTGCTCAAGAGAAAATCCCGGCTTGTGGCAGGAAGCCGGGTTTCTCAGCCGTGTCCTCAAAAGCCGCTTTTTTCACAACAAAGAACTAATATTTTTTCAGGTTCTAGAAGGTCTAGGTATAGGATCGGAGCAAGGAACCACATCACACAGTCCAGGCCCGTTGCAAATTCTTCGACAGCCCGGCTGGGTGCCGCAATCGAGTCACAAAAGTCTGCGTCTGAGTCGTCTGGGGCCTCCCACGACAAGAAGGGCCTGGGACCCTCTTTACCGACAGTTTGGTGGGGTCTACCTACCACTTAAGGGTAGTTACTACTAATAACCTGTAGGTACAGAGAGCCCCAGGGGCACCTGCAATGACAGTGCCGGATACTGCCGGTCCTCAAGGCTTGCGACGAAACCGCGAAGCGCGCAGCTCTGCCGAACTCGGCAGGCGCGCACCACCCCCACTCGGCAGCATCGGGATCGGCTTCGGCAGTGCTGCGCGTTGCCCTGCGCAGATGGCGTGCTGACCTGGACATGCAGGAGGGCCACATCCGTCCTCAGCAGCCGAGGGCTCGTCCCTCGAACCTTGCACCACAGAACGCCCCTCGCGCGGGCCTGGCTATCTTTTGCATGGGACGAGTGTCTGCAGTCTGCCGAGCGCCACCATCAGCAATGTTTGGTTTTTCCGGGGCACCTTCCCTGCGGTGCGCTCCGAGATCTCAGTCCTGTGAGTGAAGCATCCGCAACTTGCGAATAAGAGTCTCTTATCAAAAGGAGCCCCGAAAATGACCGCGATTTTGGAACAACACCCATTTGAGGCCATGGGCCTCTTGGGAGCAAGATCCGTGATCCTAGGAGTCCAAACCCGAGAGGCCCAGAGACTGGGCAAAGGTTCCCCCTAGCAGCATCGCGGAGTGCCGATGGCGACAACCTGGGCCTCTGTCTGAGCCTTCTTCGTGGCACAGAAGCCAAGCAAGGGGATTTCCTGGCAGTGCGCCGCACAGGAGGCACGGAGGCAGGAAGCCGGGGCTTGCACGCGGAGCTGCAGTGGCGAAGCCCGACTGTTGCTGCACAGGAGACGCAACGCGTCAGAATGAGCCAGCCACGGCCAGCAGCTGAAGATCGCCACCAGCCGCAGGTGCCGTGCACTGGTCGCCACCGGCACGCGTCCCCGAGCTCCAATGGAAGAGGCTGGGGCAAGGGACAAGAGCTCCAATTCGGTGCAGCCTTATATCAAAATGGCATCCCACATGGCCATGGCCATGCGGCCCTTAAGTGACCTCACGGCCCACTGCCTTCTGCACGCGAGCCGAACGGGTCTGCCTATGGGCCGCCTTGATTTGCCGGTGGGGCAGGTGACAGCTGGATGGGTCCTGTCAAGGACTCATCCACCTTCACCAGCACGTCGCTGTCAATCTGCGTCATCTCATCTCAGGCGGATACCCTAAACCCTAACTAAATCCTAAGCCCCACGACCTGGGTTTCAGGACTCCCTGGCACACTGGCCTCCTGCTGTATGTAGGGGTATATAGGGTCAAGGGCCTTAGGGTTTCGGATAGTACTGGGGTAACCACCTCGCCTCCTGCAGAAGCTCTAGCAACCTCACGCGCATGGTGGGCCTAGAAGATTCGGGTTCGACTTCCCCGAGAAGCCAAACTTTAATATAAACCCGTTGAAGAGGCGCGGAGCTCCTGGGCCGTATCAACTCCAACTTCAAAAAAAGCTTATGGTTGACATACCCTAGTCGGGATAATAGTGTTAAGGTCCTAGACCTGCCTGCTCCGACTGGGCGCCGTGCAACGCAAGGCCGTAGGCACCGCAAGGCATGCTGCCTTTGCTTCTTTTGCTTGGGTTTGTCCATGGATTCTCCTGTTTGGCTTATTTGGGGCTGATGGTCTTGCAATGGACTGAGTGGAGGCAGGATGCACATTCCAGCGGCTTGGTGTTCAGCGATGCAGTGCGTGCTGGCAACGAGGTCCGAGAACACCGATCACTTGGTGAGTTCAGCATGAATATGGGGGAGAATTCAGACGAGAAATGTGCAAGCCGGTCCCTCGTGCCCACAGGCAGCCTGCAAAGGTTGAAGCTCGTAATCGTGCTCACCTCAAGTTGAGGGACTAACATGCCACCTCAAATCCGAACAGAAAGGATGCTAACTCTGGAAAACCTGTTGAACACAGGAGGATCTCATCACCAAGCTCCCGGAGTCGTACACGACTTGTCCCTGCTGCTGGGTCTGCACGGATCTGCATTTGAAATGCCAGCCAGCTCGCACATGCACGCGGAGCTGCAGTGGCGAAGCCCGACTGTTGCAGAACGGGAGACGCAACGCGTCAGAATGAGCCAGCCACGGCCAGCAGCTGAAGATCGCCACCAGCCGCAGGTGCCGTGCACTGGCCGCCACCGGCATGCGTCTCTGTACTCCAATGGAAGAGGCTGGGGCAAGGGACAAGCGCTCCAATTCGGTGCAGCCTTATCTCAACATGGCATCCCACACGGCCATGGCCACATGGGCCTCGCATGATCTCACTGCCTACTGCCTTCTGCACGCGAGCCGAACGGGTCTGCCTATGGACCGCCTTGATTTGCCTGTGACAGAGGAATGGGTCCTGTCAAGGACGCATCCACCTTAACCAGGACTAGGACTTGCAAGAGGGCCGCATCCGCCCTCAGCAGCCGAGGACACCGCAGAACACCCCTTGCGTGGGTCTGGCTATTTTGCACGCAGGGACCAAGCGTCGGCAGTCTGCCGAACGCCACCGTCAGCAATTCTGTTGGGGTCC